AGAAAAATATAGCCAGGTGTTGTGACGAGCGCCTATAATCCCAGCTACTTGGGAGGCTGAGGCAAGAGAATTGCCTGAGCCCAGGAGTTGGAGGTTGCTGTGAGCTGTTTGACGCCATGGCACTCTACCCAGGGCAATAAAGTGAGACTCTGTCTCTACCAAAAAAAAAAATTTTTTTTAAATAAATAAATAAATAAATAGCCAGGCATTGTGGCACGTGCTTCTAGTCCCAGCTACTTGGGAGGCTGAGGCAAGAGGATTGAGCCCAAGAGTTTGAGGTTGCTGTGAGCTATGTGGCCGCAGCACTCTACTAAGAGCAACAAAGTGAGACTTTGTCTTAAAAAAACTCCAAAGGAGGGGGAAAAAACCCAAAAGACAAAAAAAAAATCCTTATTATTAGCAGCAGTAGTAATTGTATGTAGAAATGAGAGCTGTTACAAGGATTAAATATGTTAATACATGCAGTGTTTAAAACAGCATCTTACATTTACTAGGGTACTCAAAAACTATTATTACTACTATAGAAAATAAATATTGACTGAACTAAACAGAAATCATTTTGCCTTATCCTGGTATTATATTTGAGGTCTATCAAGCTCCTTCCAAAGTATTGCTAAATACTTTAGTATCATCCTAAAAAAGGTACATCATTTAATCTGAACAGAGATAACGTATGTTAAGTATTTTAAATGTGTGATACTAAGTTAGAAAAAAAATCCATGTTTTAAGTTTTAAAAGTCATTAAGAATTTTATGATTTCTAGATTAAAAAAAATTTATTACTTTCACATAACGGTAGCATTTTATTATTAGAATACCTCCAAAATCTTTTATAGGCTACTTATTTTAAGGCATGTATGATAGATGAATAAAGTTTCTTTTATAAAAACAGTTTTTTGTGTGTGTATGTGTGTTTTTTTTTTTTTGTAGAGACAGAGTCTCACTTTATTGCCCTTGGTAGAGTGCCATGGTGTCACACAGCTCACAGCAACCTCCAACACCTGGGCTTAGGCGATTCTCTTGCCTCAGCCTCCGGAGGTAGCTGGGACTACAGGCACCCACCACAACGTCCAGCTATTTTTTTGTTGCAGTTTGGTCGGGGCCAGGTTTGAATCCGCCACCCTTGGTATATGGGACTGGCACCCATTCACTGAGCCACAGGCACCACTCCATAAAAATAGTTTTTTAAAGACAGTTCAGGCAACGCCTGTAGTTCAATCGGCAGGGCACCAGCCACATACACTGAGGGTGGTGGCTTTGAACCCAGCCAAAGACAGCTTAAAAAAAAATAGAAAAACTGAGGCAAGAGGATTGTTTGAGCCCAAGAGTTGAAGGTTGGGCAGTGCCTGTGGCTCAAAGGAGTAGGGTGCCGGCCCCATATGCCAAAGGTGGCAGGTTCAAACCCAGCCCCGGACCCCCGCCCCAAAAGAATTGAAGGTTGTTGTGAGTGATGACTCCACAGCACTCTACCCAGGGTAACAGCTCAAGACTCTGCCTCAAATAAAAAAAAAAAAGCTCACATTTATTTTCATAAAATCTATACTAATTGTACCAACGTTTAAAAAAATGCACCAAAGAATCAAACATAGGTCTTAACACTACCATTGTTAGCATATGCAATATATATTTCCAGATATAACTTTCTGCATATACATAACAAATAAATAAATATATAAATAGATTAATATTTTTTATTTTATAAGACTCTCTATAAGGCCAGGCACTGTGGCTCATGGCTGTAATCCTAGCACTCTGGGAGGTTGAGGGGGATTGCTTGAACTCAGGAATTCGAGACCAGCCTGAGGAAGACTGAGAGCCTGCCCCTAAAAATAGCTGGGCATTTGGCAGGCACCTGTAATCCCAGCTAATAGGGAGGCTGAGGCAACAGGATTGCTTGATCAAGCCCAGGAGTTTGAGATTGCTGTGAGCTATGACACCATAGCACTCTACTGAGGGCAACAAAGTGAGACTGTGTCTTTTTTTTTTCTTTTGAGATAGAGCCTCAAGCTGTCACCCTGGGTAGAGTGCCATGGCATCACACCTCACAGCAACCTCCAACTCCTGGGCTCAGGCGAGTCTCCTGCCTCTGCCTCCCAAGTAGCTGGGACCACAGGCACCCACCACAATGCCTGGCTATTTTTTTTGGTTGCAGCCATCATTGTTGTTTGG